CTTACGGATTTGGGGGGTTGATATAATGAATAGCTACTCTTCCTTCAATACTTCCAAGGGCAAATCCAGTTGGTTTGTTCACTTTGTCTTTAAAAATAGCAACACAGCGATGCTAAATTTGAGAAAGATACAAAGGATTCTGAGAAACTTCTTTTCCATGGGGACACAAAACATCACAGACATCAAAGTAAAGCAAAACCACAAACAAGGTCAAGAGATGGGTCAAATTCTGTTGAGAATTTGGGCCATAGTATTTGAATTTCTAAATCCTTATGAAAATCACCAATAAATCAATGGCAGACCAGGTCATGTGCCATACTAAGAAAACTTGCTTTGAAATAGTGCTTGTTTTTACCAGGAAATGTCAAGCCCAGAATGTCAACAATCTGTAGAAACACACTCATAACAAATATTATAATTTACCTGGTGTTTAAGAGGAGATTCTATTCTTCTAAATTCAGAAGGCTGGTTCTCTAACTGATAAACTATCAAACCCCTTTCTGCAGTAGCCACAGCTGCCATAGGATGAACCTGGATAAGGTTGTAAAACAAGTTGGAAGAGAGACACTTTTGTTAACAGCACGGCAGAGAAGTCCATTACTTCACAGAAAACTCTGATGAACTTAAAGGAATTAGAGGGAAGAAGAACAAAGTTCATTTGTAGACATATCTTTGAACATAACAAGTCAGTTTTTCACTGCCATTGAGAAATTAAGATCAGATTATGTTCTACTACTAAAATCACACAGAGATTAAATACTACCAGTGTTCAGTACTACCCTAGAGAAGCCCCAAAATCTGCCAGTTTATTCCTACTCCCAGTCATCCTGCTGACACCAGTTTCCTGTATATCCTGGCTTACCACATCTGCACAGTAACATCTTTCAGGGAGCTGCAGTGTCATCATAGGGGTTGGTGAACGGGTGTCCCAGAACTGATGGGAAAAGAAAAATGAACAAACTTACACTGGGAGCTGAGGATTCAAATTACTTCAGTAAAACCTGTGCCACACAACTGGCACAAGTTGTTTCATTCTGTGAAGTGAGGCTATTCCACTCTTTGCATTTAATAAAACATTTTCACTTCACATACATACTTTCATACACAAACGACCAACACACTTTGTGTCCATTTGTTCAGGTGAAAATCATACCTTCAAAGTTTTATCCCAGCTTCCTGTCATCACACAGCTGTAATTGGGTGCTTTGATCCAATGGATAGTCTTCACAGGAGCATCGTGCTGAAGAAAAAAAAAGGACAAACAGACAAACAATTACTAATCTAACAGGGCATGCTTCTTGTTTATGCTTCTCATATTTTTGTATTTATTTACACTTTTCATCCATTCAAGAAAAGCAATTCATGATTTTAGTCATGGCAAGTAGGATAGAGGTTGATCATGACCTTATTGTGTTTAGTGCTGTAAAATCACTCACATAAATATAAAGGTTCCTGACACAAAGAATTACAACCAAGTCACCTCACACAGGAAAATGGTCACAGCAGAATTATAAATTAAGGAGAGCAAGACTTTATTTATAAAGGATATTATTCATCATGCTAAAACCCAATATTTTTTAATAAAAGTCTACGTTAATTGCAAGATTTTAAATTCAAGGCTGAGAATCTGATACAAGAAGTGATCATTAAAGGGACTAACTCTCCTCTTAAATTACATAACTGGCAATTCATTTTGGTCACCATAATTACACATTCTATGAACAGATATTAACTTCTATATTGAGAATGTAAATTATGATCCCTGTTATTGCTGCAGCAGAAAACTGGTATTTGTGAAAGTCAATACAATGATATCTGAATTTTTTTTCCCCTCTAATGCAGCAGGGTGACTTAGTGAGATCACTGCAGCAATGGAAAAAGTTCTTTTAAGTGAAACAAGAGGAAACAGGTGCACAGGTTACTTAAATCACTTTGATCACCTACTCAGGTGCACTTCACTATCTCAAATATATAAAAATGCTGAGAAAGGTACATTTTAATACAAACAGAAAAGTAAAAAGAACCACCTAATAGTTTGGGGCTTGCTTACTTACTTGTGCAATCTGAATTGCTTGATTACTGTTGAGATCCCACATTTTGGCAGTTTTATCACAGGAAGCAGTAAATACTTTACTCCCATCCTAAAAAACAAGAATAGGACCAAGAGATTAACTGGTTCTATTGTGAAGTATCTGTCAGAAAACTGCTGAGTCTTAGACTCTTCTAATAATAGTGTAACATCAATATAACACATACTGGGATTGCAAGATGAAGAAGCAGCACAAAAATGGACATTTATTTATGCCTGTATGTCATAAAAGAGCAAACAGAGCTAGGTTTTATCTAGCTTAAAATACACTCTTAGCTTTTAAACTCACTTTTAACCTTCTTAAGCCCATGTCAGTCTATCCCACAAGACACTTAGCACATATTTACAGCAATGTAAACCTATACAATGGGCTATATCTACATGTGCCACTCATCTGCCTGCAAATCACATGCCAGTTTTTTTAGAGTTTTGGTAAAAACTGTGTATTTTAAATAGGAACATACATCACTCCAGCAGGCATCTAGTACAGGCCCTGTGTGCATCTGCTGAGCCTTTGGAATTGTCTGTCCATTATCCTGAACTTCCCAGCAGCGAACCTGTAACAGGAGAAGCAGATGCAGAGGTAACACAGTAACACAAACTTAAAAGATTGTCCTGAAGGTCCCAGCCTTAGTTTATCCAACATTAAGTGAGATTATAAACACCGAGGTTTGTAGTTTTTTTGAGAACTAGTGAAACCTTATTTTCTCTGATTATGTTCCTTTCACCTGTACAGCCAAAACTTAACCCCACAACTTCAACTTCACTTCAAAGTACCTTAAGAACATGAAACAGCTCACCGTGCTCTCCTGCAGAACCTTTAACCCCCAGCTGGGCAGGAGCTGCTCCCTACAGGCCACCAGCCAGTAGATCAAACACAACAGTTAAAAAACATGCCCACATTCATCTTCCCTCCCTGCTTTTGCCAGCTGGGATCTCACCCTTCACTTCAAACAAACTTGAATAATGTTGCATGAACTTAAATCTTTTTGAGGCTACACTGTCAAACTGGATGATTTACCAGCTTTGTCAAACTTAATGCCTTGGTACCAGACACAAATTTTAGAGTTCTTCAACAAGTTATATAATCAGGTGCCCCGGTACAAGTTTTTAGGATGCTATTTTGCCATTTAGGCACCAATGCTCCCACATTATTCACCTGCATGTCTGACTGTGAGTACTTACATCATTGGCCCATGATCCTGCAATGAGGAAATTACCCGGCAGCGTGGGAGGACTAAATGCTAAACAAGAGATGCTGTCATCAGGTGGAGATGTTACCTCGATGTCCTACAAAGAACAGGAGACAAAACAAAACTTGCCACGTTTGAAAGACTGTGAACTGAGATCTTATTACTCCTACGGAGCAAATTTTAGGCTCTGTTGTGACACACTGACACATAAAGTGGAACGTGGTGCCCACGGGGGCTGGCACTCGTACCTTCATGGGGTTGTGGTTATCTGCTGTGGTGCTGCCGAACATGCTGGTGCCGCCGGTGCCGAACCCCGACGTGGATCCGAACAGACTCATCTTGGCCCTGCGAAGGAGGGAAAGGCTCAGCGAGCCCTGCAAGGCCCTCAGCAAAGCCTCTGCAAGGCCCTCCAGCGTGCCCGGGGCGTCTGACCGCAGCCTCTACACCAGCGCGGCCCTGGAAAGCACTCGGGGATGTACAGATACACCAAATTCATTAGTTAATTAGTTAAATAAATAAAAGGACACTTCTCGTCGCAGCTGTACCCCTGACACCTCCCGCCTGGAGGGAGGAGGGATTCCCTGCCGAGGATTCCCTGCCGGGGATCCCTCTCGAGAGCCATCTCCGCCGTGCCTCCCGCTGGCCCCGAGCCCGCCCCGCGGTGCTGCCCCCCCGCCTCACGCCCCGCCCGGGGGGCACCAAGGCCGTACAGCTCCGCGGGGGTCCCGGCCGGCGGAGGCCGGAGCTGCCCCAGGGAGTCCCTCGGCCGGGCCTCCCCGACCCAGCGGCGGAGCGGGGCTGCGCTGCCCCTCCCCTGCCCCAGCGGCGGAGCGGGGCCGCTCTCCCCCTCCCCGTGACCCACCGGAGCGGGGCCCGCTCGGGCCGTGCCCTCAGCGACGGGTCCCAACGGCGCGCACGGGACGGGCCGCTCCTCCCTGCGCAGGCGCCGCTGGGCGGGGCCGCGGCTGCGCACTGGGCGCGCGGGGCGGGGCCGTTACAGCGGGTCCGTCCGGAGGGGAGCGTTGGGTCGGACATCGGGATACGGGATTTTCCCCGGACGGTGGTTGGGCACTGACCAGGCTCCCCGCGGCAGTGGGCACAACACCAAGGCTGACAGAGCTCTAGGAGCGTTTGGATGACACATGGTGTGGCTCTTGGGGATGGGCCTGTGCAGGGCCAGGAGTTGGACTCGAGGATCCTTGTGGGTCCCTTCCAAGTCAGCACGTTCTGTTCTGTGCTTGTGTCATGTCACCTGTTTCGTTTCAAACAGCAATAAACCTTTGGTAGAATGCTGCCCCAGCTATTCCAGAAACTCATTCTCATGCAGATAAATCCTTCCTCAAGGCCAAACACACAACAGCTCCTGACCTGACCCTCCTGCTGCTGGATCATCCCTGTGTCCCCTGGGTCCACACTGGACACCAGCCATCACTGTCAATTGTAACGCTGCTACTGTGCAGTAAATAAAAAGGAATTTAAATTCGAATTTGATACTGGTGGAAGAGCAGTAAAAAACCCCAAATAGATAAATATAGTGAAATACTGTCTGTAAGATCTGTGCTGGCAACTCTCTAGGACAGTTTTGGAATTATTTTCTGGGCAGTCAATCTGCCTTCCTCACATAAAAGTTATTGTACACTTTAATCACCACAGTTTTCTGCTCCTTTTTACTGTATTAGAGCCAACTAAATAAATAAAATGGACAAGGGATTCTGTTATGATGTGCATCATTAACAGGACTGTTTATTAACTTCTTAATCAGTAACATCTGCTTTCTTACTTATTCATGGAAGACAGATAGAAATTTGATTGCTGGAACATTTATAGCTGCTTGAGACATGCAGTAATAAAGAATTATCTCTGACTTTTTTGGTCTGAATTTACAGTGAACACAAACCCCCACCGTGTTGTACTTAAAACAAAATCCAAAAGGAGTCACATACAATAAATTCTTAACCAAGTCTTTCACTCCCTTCAAAAATAAAAAGCTTGGTACAACATCATCTTGTGCTTTAAGACAGAAGGCAAAGCAATTCTTGGATACATTTTTAAACTTAACATTTTTCTGACAAGCAACAACATATTTCATTATCTTTTCTGTGTGTATCATGGCATTTGGCACTTTTACACTGCAGAAACCATAGAATGAAAGCAGCAGTATTCTGCAAAAAGAGAAAATTGTAATCTAGATACAGTGATAAAGAAACCTCACAAGAAGCTGACAGATACTCCTCTGTCTCTGCAGGGTTTTTCTCTAAGAGCAGTCAACAAAACAAATCAATATATAGAAAAACATGTCATTTGCAAAACAGTGCTCATATCCATCCACCAAACTGCAGTTTGTTTGGTAAATAGACTCTGGAAAGGTAATCTTGTGAGAGAGAAGTTAGAACTTGAATTTCGGCCTTCAGTTTAGATGCTGCCATCATTTCCAGCTTGAAAAAAAAAAAAAAAAAGAAAGAAAAAGGAAAAAAATTAATGTGTGATGCTGTAACAGCCTGATCCAGGGTTAGGTAAGAATTTAAGTAAGAATTACACTCACTGGATGTGCATGTAAAACTGTAAAGTCAGTATGACTGGAAATGGTGCTGCAAAGCCCCTTTCACCGAGCTGAGATTATTGATTATTTATTGTATGTTCTTGTGTGCAACTCACAGGAACACAACTTATGAGTATCAACAGGAAGGAGGAGGTGCACACCCCCTTTTCTTCCATTCTAACCATTTCACAGAATATGTGCCTGAATTGAGATATTTATATTTTAAAAGCTACAGCCAAGATTAGAGGTCTGGTACTGACTAAGGAACTGCTTTAAGCAGTTATGGCAGGAGAGCTTAAAATGCTTCTGAGAGCCATTGAGTCCCCCTGGTTCAGAGAGACATCCCAGGGCTTTCCCAATCTTGCCTTCTTTTAGGGCTGCAAAACCTTACTGGTTCTGCTTGTCAGACATAGGATTTGTCCTGTGGGGAGGAAGAAATAGGAAACAGTAGGTTTATACACACTTCTTTTTTCCACAGTGGCTGACAAGCAATGTAAGGTCTCTTCTGTATACTTGCCAACTTATTTTGATCTTGTTTTGTAAATGGAATCAGGGCATCTTTATTTATATTTAATCTGAAAAGAAAATAAAGTTCTTAGATTTCCTCACACACTTAAAAATATATTTTTTCCAGCTTATTTCTTTATATTAAGCCAAAATAATGTGTGAAAAGAATAATGTATTTAAACAGATATTTGTGCAGTAAGTCAGATTGCATTTGCTGTCTATGAACCAAAAGAACACTTCTGTTTCTTTGGGGAATTACTGACCTCTTGAGATCAGATGGAAGGAGACCAAGCCACTTTATAGATGGAACAGCGAGATGATGGGCCTCAAAAGACATTGACTAAAACAAGAAAGGTTAACTGTAACACTCAGTGATTTGTAGTGTAAGTTATTTGAGATATATGCCTTACAAGGTCATGGTCAGGTTGTGTTACAAAGACAAGTGGGCATTTTCACTCTCAGTATAGGAGAGCACAGTGCAACTGAAGTTTATCATGTCCCCTTGCCAGGAACCCCCTCCTTTGCTAAAACTGGCACCCTTTGGCCTAGGACAGGTTCTAGACTAGTGCAGTTTAGGCTGGTCTAGTCTGAACAGTTTGTTTAGGATTTTTACAGTCAGTATGTGTCTGATTGCAAAAAAAAAAAAAAAAAATTAGCCAAGAGGGCAATGACAATCAAACCTGGAAATTTCTGACATTTTCTGCTGTAAAGTATGACATCATATAAAAATAACCCAGACAAAAGTTCATCTGGCCCCGTATCATGGCTACAGGAAATATCTTAGGGAAAAGTGTAAAAACAAATAACCAGGTAATGATACTTCTCAGAATACTCCCCCTGCTCCCAGTGGTTTCTGACTCCAACTTTCTGAGCCAGAACTGGTAGTGGTGTACTACTTGATTTTGTCAGGTTGCTTTTAGAATCCATGAAAACTTTTGTCATCTACAGCACCCTACAGCCAAGTAAATTACATGTTGTATAAAGGAATACTTCCATTGTTTGTATGATCACAGCCTATTCTAGTTTCATTTGATACACCTGTTGCCCTGTAACTGAACAAAACCTCCTAACAAAGGTTATAGCATTTCATACCTTCCAGCTTCCAGGCTGGGCTACAAAACAATGTACTTGAAGGGGAAAAAGTATACTCACCACAGATCCATATTTGTAGACGCACATTATTTCTACACCTGGGTTGCAGAACACCAAAAATCAAGTGTCTGTTAGTCTGCACACTGGGCATTTTTAAGGAGACTGTCTAATTCAATTTTATGGCATAACAGTTATGGCTTTAAGATTAGTGAGGTTCTTTATGGCTTACAAATATTTTTGGAGTATGTTAAAATAATCAGAATTTGAGCATAATAAGTCACCTTCACACAGTTAAATGTTCTACACTGTCTATGCATAGTCAATTCAAACCCAAGAATAAGCAGCCCTTTTAAACATTGTCCAACATTTATCATCAAAGGTGTCTTTCTTTATCTTGTCTCATCCATATCTCTTAATACTCTTGCTTTGAGCAGCTGCTTCTCATTTTGCATTAATCTTCCTAATTTCATGTGAGATCAATGTAGATACAGACCCTTCTGATTGTGCTGGGTTTCTGGGCTCTCAGAACCTTCCCATAAGAGTGAGAAAAGACATTCTAAGCAAATTTTGCTTTCCTTTTATACCACTGAACCTCTACAGATTTACCATGTGGATCTGCATCCATAAGGCTGAAAATAGGAATTTGAAAAGAATCCCACAGCTTCCTGACCAAAAGTCGAGTATTAAGATCTGGTACACCTCTTCCCTAAAGAAATAAAATAAAAGCAAACAGTTTTAGACTAACTAGAACAACATCTGGCTACATATGTGTTTACATTTGTCATTTAAAAGCATGCAAGCAAACAAACAAACAAAGTGCTGGCAGAAACATTTCTCCAGCAGCTGTTTTGCAGGGAGAGTTCTATGCTTCTATTTTGGCTCTGTGAGGAGGGAGGGATGGGCTGGGAGCAGCCTGGCAGGTGTTCTGGGTTATGGGCACTGTAGAAGTATCAGACATTCCTCTGTTCAAGGAGTTAATTTGTAAAGTCTGGGAGTTGATGTATAGAGGTACCCTAGTGTCTGTATAAGCTGGTGTAGGAAGGCCACTTTTTTATCTCAAAATAATATTTGTGTCACTAATGGAACAATATAAAACAAGTTCTTGCTATGGCTGACTAAAACAGAATGATATGCAGCATAGGAGAACTGTTTCTCTCTTTCAGGTGTGGGGAAATGTTTTTTTTCTCATTGTATGTATATTGAGTTTACACATTCCTGTTAATTCTCCTGGCTCCATAGCTCCTTCAGTACAATCCAAAATCAACCAGTTTTGTTTCATTTGGGTTTGCTGAAACTTGGATCCTGAAGGACAAAAGGTCACTCAGCAGTTGAGCCTTTCTGAGACTTTGCAGCAGCACAGGAAGCTGATAAGCTACCAAGCTCTAAGGAGGTAATAAGTATTTAGAATATATATTTCATACTTCTATGAGGATAATAAAATTTTTTAAAGTATTGTTATATATGCTTCACATTAATTTTATTATGGCCTTTTGCCCAAGTTTGAGCACCTCTACAATACTGAAGTATTACTTAAATTAGGTCTAGCTGGAGGATATGAAATGTAAGATTCATACCGTAACCATGATACATGGGGACACTTTGTTGAAGAAGTCATCATCCAGGAGCCTCTGAAAAGTTGCATCTTTTTCTACAATTAACACAAATTTGGCATGTGAGATTAAATCTTTTCTGTTAAGGCTAGCTGCATGCAAAGTGATCCATCATACCAATCAATTAAAACTTAACTGCTCTGAAATACCTGCTCTGGAGCCAAAAGCAGTGATCATGACTCAATTTCAGAGCCAAAAAGCAAAGAAAAAATTACCAGAACATTGTTTAACTTGGAATAATCTTTGTTTTTACTTTATTTTTTCAGTCTATGATGAAAGTTCTTGCTCAAAGGATACTTTTAATTCCTTGAACATTAGATGACACAGAGACTGCCTAAAACAACACAAATGAGATTAATCATTTTAAATAGAAAAAGATTATATATTTTAAAATAACAGCATTAGGTAATGAAGGACACAATTACATCTCGAAACAACCATTCATCTTGCATATACAAGATCAATCTTGACATTTTCACCTTTTTATGAGCCTAGTCAGCCATTCATATCCTGCTCTGTTGTGTCATTCTCTAGGAGTCCCCCTGTCATGACAAGATGCTTTTCAAAACTATGGCAGAAGATTGTTCATCATATGGGCGTGACAGATAATGACAATAACCTGATTAATTTTTATCTGTCTTAGCCAGAAAAAAATGGCTGCTTGGTGTGAAGGCAGATAATTTAATACAAATTTAAAATATTTAAGAATTAAATCCTTCCTTTTATTGACCTATAACCTGATTTTATATGTATTTTGGAGCCAGAGCTTGAAGACATAGTAGTGTTTACTTTGCATCTCCTATTAGGATTGGCTCAATCTGGCAAGCATATGGATGAGAAAACAGGAACTGGAGGAAGAACTTGGCAAAAGAATATGTATATATTGAAGTGTGTGGTCTGTTTTTACTTCTGACTGCTGAATCACCTCCGGTGCCAGGGTGGAAGAGCTCAGCAAATAAAAGTATGAAGAGCTGCAGAAGAGCATTAATAACAAGGCACTGCTTACAAAGTGTAAGGGGCAGCTAAGGTTATCTTTCAGTTTTTGAAATGAGTGACTTAGGCTTACAGAGAACACATTTTCCAGAAAATTGTGGCAGTAGTCAGCAAGTCTGAGTTCTGCTGCTGCCTTCATACTCTGCATGGCTATAGGAAAGCTTTCAGGTCAGCTGAACCTCATCTCCTTAAACCACTTTTGCCAGAAGCCAATCTATCGTGGCAGAATTGTGTAATAAATGTGTACAGTGACCTAAACTACAAGAAGTATCTTGTAAAGGCAGACACTATGAATTACTGTTTCTGTTTTATAATACATACTGTTGCACTGCAGGTACAATTCACTTTTGTACCATCTTCCTCAGTGTAACTTAAATTACCAGCAACAAAACCTTTAGTTGTAGACAGCTGGAAAAAATAGTAAGTTGTACACAGTAAATGGACAGTTACAGGCTGTCACACTGCACAGGCAAAACAAGACATTTCTGAAAAGAATCCTGGCCAGGACTAAGCAGTGATCAACTGCCATCAGCCCCTTAAACACTAAACAATGTTGTTGTCATGATGCACATCAAGGCATACTTACAATAAATAAGTTTAGATACAAAGGAACCCTTGGAAGGCACAAGATACAAGTGAATTTGACTGGTTGTTACATTTCTGATATAGTTTAATTTTCATTTAGCCCCCAAGTTAGCAAATGATTTGAGTACAAACTGCTAAACAGGTGCCTTGCACTCTAAAGTTTAAGCACTGCCTTCACTAGATAATAGCAAAAGCCTCTGTGATTTTAACTGGTAGTTTGTCCACGAAATAAACTCTATGAATTTTCTGTGAAGAAAGAAACCCTTTGAGTGCCACGACAAACCATAATTAGGTTTCATTTTCATTAATGACACTTTTTATTTTAACAGTGTAATTCCCACTGATAACTTTTCACGATATTTCCCCTTTCAGTTTAATCTTTAAGGTTCAGAAATAATGACAAAAGCATTTATAAGAGGCCACTTACTATATGCAGACTTCTCCGGGGTATCTTAAGCATGCAGGAAATGTCATTGATTATACTGTCCACAGCACTTTGGCTACCAAACAGCAGAGTATCTGAATAATATATATCTCTGTCAAGACAAAAGTTTGTATTTGCAATGATAATCCTGAAGCAGCTGCAGGCTCAGGAGAAATTTATAAAGAGCATCATCAATCAGATCAACCTAAAACATTCTTTGTGCAGGAATCCTGCAGGTTTGCATCCTGTAGGCTGTTTTGCACAGAAACATACTTAAAATACAGCTTTATTTGAAATTACAGAAATTCTGTTACCTTTTAGTTGCATAAGTATTGCTCTGCACCATCTTATAGATCATAGATAATATTTTGAGCATAAGAGCTGGGAAAAAAATTATAAAATATCAATTTTCTGAAGTGGTTATATAATCATTTGTCTTTTTATTGACCCATAAATAAAACTGAAATTTTAATGTGCTGTGAAAATACAGAGAGACTGTACTAATCAATAGACTCAGTAATTTCTAGCATAACAAGAAAAAATATGATGGAGTTAAGTGAGGGAATGTGTGCCCTGATGTCCAGGCCAAGACATTAAATGACTGAGTTAGAAAAAGAAATGACCTTATTGTCTGTATTCCAAGATTCTTTTCCTAGCCAGTTTTTTGAAGAAGGGTGATGTTTTTACATTAAGACCTTTTGAATATGCCTTCAGCTAATATTCATTCAGGGAGGGGAAAAACTCTAAGAATATTGTATTAATTTCACTCACTATAATTTAATAGAGAAAAGCTGAAGGGCTGGTCGTAGTATCAGGTTATATCAGCCACACAATTATAAACTGCAGTGCATAATATTTTAATTTTTTTTTTTTACAAAGTTTTGAACCACAACACAAAGAAAACCCCCAAACCAAAACCCCAATTCTTCTTCTTTTGGACTTTTTTTTAACTTACCAAATCTTGGTGCTGATTGAGGACAGTCACTTCTTATCTGTTTTGTAGTACAACGTGGTATCATCTGTAGACCTACAGAATCTTTAAATCTGACACATTCCAAACAAATACAATGTAAACTCACTGAATACATGTAAATTGTTGCCTGCAAGGTAATTCAGCCTCAGATCCCTTTCCTATAATCAAATACTCCAGGGCTATTTTCAGACTCAGCATAGAAACCATCAGCTTGGGTGGAGTTAGAGTGGCCAAAGGAAAAAAGGCAGGAAAGAGTTTCCCAAGATGCTTCAAGACTGAATTTAAGCATAAAACATATAAGTTTCCAGACAAAAGTAGAGACAAGAAAAATAGTTTAGTTATGTTTAGAACCACTAATATATCAGCATCAATAACTTTTTAACATGAAAACAAAGGAATGAATGACAGGGAAAAATGTGAACCATTATTAGAACACTAGAAATCAAGTCTGACACAGTGACTTTGTGACGCAGAATGTGTGACAAGCTGTTACTGTTTCAGATGACAATAACATTATCTAGTTTATGCCCTTAAATTATTATCAGAAGAACTCAATTATACTCTGTTATTAACTTTTGGAAACAGAAAGGTGGCCCATCCTGTCCTCTAAAGAGCTTTTTAATCTAAATGAGCTCCACCATTTCATGCTTCACTGTTTCGTGTGTGGAGATGCACATTTCACCAAAAGAGTCACTTATTTTCTTAAGGACACTTCATTATTTTACAGAAAATCGTTTTAGTGCCTTATAATATGGCAGTCCTAACTTTAAAGCACTCCTTTCCATTTCATAGCTTTGTGTGTACTATTAAAAATACTCGTGGTATAATGGCTGTAATTTCATCGAAAACCACATCATGTTTCTCAGTTTGTTTGTCGAAGGTTTTGCTTCGTGCATCCGTTGGGTGGCAGAGCACACCCGCTGCACAAACCCGAAGGCACAACCCACTGTAGCATCTGCCCGCCAGCTTTAAAGTAACTTTATTGCCTTTGTAGTGCAACATTTAAAAGGTATTTGTGCTTTACCATCGCCTGCTCTCTACATTGTAACAGAAGAAGAGGAAAACTGTAATCAGGCTGAGCTGCTCCCAGGTTAAACCCGGAACACTCCAATTCTTCCTGGGACTCTGCTTTCTCGAGCAGAGGAGTTTTCTATAAAATCTTTATTCCACTACTGGGAATTTTTGATGTATTTAGTTTTTTTTTAATTCCTGAAAAGATAAAACTGGAAAATGAAAGGCGATTGTGCTATCTGGGCTTGGCATTCTCACTGATTGACATCATTCTCAGGTAAATACCTCTCTGGGCGTCTACAAATGTTTACAAGGAACATGTCAAACATGAAATCATTCTCTTGTTCTACTCATTCCTGCCCAGCACATTCCAGCTGGAATAGGTTGGGTATGAGAAAGCTGCCTAAAAAAGAAAAATAATGCCCCACCGATTGTGTTTTCTGCCGTTCATATTATATTTTGGCATAATGATTTTATTTTTATTTGATTATTTACTGTTGTTTTAATCTTCCTGAACTGTATTAAAGTGGGATATAGGTCACTGCTCAATGGAAATACATATCTGAGATTATATTTCTCCACCAGAAATAATAGTTCCGCTTTTTTTTAATGTGATTGATGAGCCTTATTTTTAACATACTGTGATCTTAACTTGTTTTAATTTGAACATTTTTCCTCATATGTGTTCTGATGGCAACTAAAGGCTCACATTTGTTTTCCTAGCCTGGAATGCCATTTCCCTGAAGACTGCCAAAAATTGCATAACTTTGTTACAGTATTTTAATTTTACAGACATCTGAGTGAAACATTTTTGTCAAACTATCAAGACACAAACCATTAAATTCCCTGGAACACACAAGCCTTTCAGTTAACTGATTACCTTCAGGCCCCTCAGGTTTTTTGATTGGCAGAAGTTTATTGTTCTCATTAAATGAGTGTTCCACCAAAGTGTTCCACCTGGAAAGTTTGCTGTGCTTCCTCCCCCTTAAATGTTTGTAATGTGTCCACACTTACAAGCACCTCTGTAATCGCATCAATCTGAATATTATTTAACCCACTGATGTCCAAAGATGTTACAAAGCTGCCAGAGATAGATTTGTGTCTTCCTTTATTCATTTGCTTCTGTATTATAGAGGGCAGTTAATCTCTCAGTATTGGGGATTCTCAGGTTGAATGAGCTCCTTGGAAAAATACTGTTGCATAAGCACTTTCCTACAAATCACAGAGTGTGCTGTAAAGGAGGATAAGTTGCTTTTATTCTAATCCTGTTTAGATAAGCTGGCATAAGACCTGAAATTTAGATAGCATATTGGAAACTTGGTTTGCTTTATCTGGCTGGTGATTAACTTAGAACACACCACACAGGTAAGAAACACAGTGGGAAGAGGGGAGATGCAGCTTCTCTGAAGAATAAAAAGCTCAGTTTATCACCACCATTTTAAGAAATAAGATACTATGAGGAAAAGCAGAGAAAAAGAAAAAAGAAAGCACAGAATGGGTTTGGAGGATGGAATTGCTAGTAATTTCTTCCAGCCCAAAACAGGTTTTTTCACTCAAACAAAACATATCATTTCTGGTTTCTACTGCTTCCAGAAAATGATTGTTTGCAGTACCTCCCTTTCCTGTCCAACCCCTATTACAGTGGGTTTACATTCTCCCTTATGCTGTGGTCTGCTATTATTTAATAGATGATGCCTGTTCGCAGTGGTTACTAAGCATTTATGTTTTATTTGTTCATTACTTCTTAAGAAGTCAAATTATTTATTGATTCTAATACTTACAGAACTGCTTATGATTAACTTTTCTGGAAGTTATATAATCAAATTTCTATTCATGGCATTTATATTAATAGAAGGCAGAACTTTAAAATGCATACTACTTACTCTATGTTCCTCCAGTCTGTTCTGTTTGCCACTTTGAGAACAGGTGCTTTTTTTTGGGCCAAGCTTTGAAGTACACCTTGAATAACATTTTCTATTGCTTCAAGAACTTCAGAACTGAAACCAAGACAATTAATGATACAGATCATAAGATAACATCTCATTCTACTTTGAGTTTTGATCAAGTATCCCCACTCTTACAAAAGTCATGGAAGCTAAAACTGCTTTCAGCATCCATTTGTTTCAGAAATGTGGGAGAACGCCTTTGTTTTTCTAATTTTGTTTTGCTCAGTTTCCCTAAAACCTTTGCCTTTCCATTCCAGATGCCTGACTGAGGACACAATTTAAAGTATATTTCTATTCAATCCTGAAACCATCAAATTTTTCACCAGCTGAACTTTCAGACCAAGCGGCTGGTTTGTGACTAATGATTAATGTTTTACTATAAATGATGTAATATTGGCTTTGGCCGTGATTTCAGCAAAGTTTTTTTTTTAAATGCTGTAAATTTAATAAGTGTTCAAGAGCACAAACACTTCCTGTTGTACCATTGCACATTAACTTTTGATCTGCTGCCCTGAACAAACTATTAAGGGTTCTAATTATACGAAGGCTCAGTCTCGACAGACACACCATGAAGAGAATAAAATCTGGATCTTTCACCTAAAAAGACAAAGTACCCTTGCAGCAGATCCCTTACAGCAAAACCCTGGCCTGGTTTGAGTGTTATGACAGATGCTTTTTATTTTCATAAGCAATCTGACTCCAACACTTCAGCTGTCCTTAAAATTACAAATGTACTATACACTGTCACAAGGCTAGGTAGGAATTAAGGAATATACAGAATTTACTTTAGCTCAAAGTTTTATCAGCAAAGTCCAATTTTGTCATTAAGTAATACACTGAGAAAAGATGAGCCAATACCAGCACAGGCCACACAAAATGAATTATCCCATTACAACATCAGCAATGATTTTTAAAGCTGGGTTGAGTCTCCTTAAACAACAATGAATTGTCACTAAGGCTCCCCTCTATCAGCTGACCATATTTCTTCCATTTTGTAGCTCAGCTTCCACATACTCCCCATTCTGCTGAAACAGAATTATAGTTATTTTTTACAGCAATTTCTGGAGAGTATTAACCTTTTATTTTAAAATGTTAGTCATAATAGTATCTGTACTTAAAAAAGCCTGATGGTATTACTGACATTTTTGTCTGCTAATATTAAACTGTTCAAGAAACACGATGTAAGTTTTCTCCTGTTTTTCAGATGAATAAATTTGGAGACAGAGAGACTAATGACTTTCAAAAAGGTAAAACAGTGAAGCATTTGCAGTGTTGATGGTACAAGAAGGCCTGCTCATGCAGCCAATATATAAATTAATTTTCTACTGTATAATAGCTTTGGAATTAGTTCCAAGACTCCCTAAATTTCAGACTCCTAGTCTCTTCCCCCAGATTCAAAATCTTACATCTCCCTGTCATATCCAAAATAGAAATTCTTTTAAGCACAGAGGAAATGGTTGGCTGGTGAGCTCAATGTGCCATGCAGCAAGAGGTAAAACAGGTAAGCAAAGCTGACTCTGGTGCAGAGCTCCAACACCACACAAATTAGTGTTGGTGACAATAAAAATCTGTATGGGCAGACGGATGAAAGAACAGGTAGGAAATCTAAACCATGTTATTGCTTTCATACTCATAAATATTTTACTTATTCATTTGGTTCTGTCCACTGTAAGTGTCTTAATATTCCACATGTACTTCCAGGTTTGCTGCAGAATTTGAAAGTCCAGGTTTCTGCTCCAATCCCAATTTCCTAATTTGTCAGCCAACAGAAGTTGTAAATGTCATATGCAATATGCAATATGTAAAATAGGAGGAAGAGGACAGCAAGTCTCTGGGTACCCCCTGCTGATATTCTGTCCCCTTTTGCAGAGATTATCTGAATTTTAATAAGCAAACATGCAACACTGGCCAAGTATGCCTACTTAAAATTCATTGTGGTTTAGCCAACAGTGACATGTGAGCAGAGAAGGAGAAGGTGCTGCACAGCTCACAGGGTTTGCCTGATCACTTCTAACAGGTTGCAGCACGAGTGGATACTTGTTTCTGTACAAAACAAGAACTGATCTTCAACACAAATAGCGTGAAAGATTAATATTGTAGCATCTTTAGCAAGCAAAAAACATAAATGCCCCAAAGAAACAGTTACAAATAAAAATCTGCAAGGTAATAAACCAACACTCTCCAAAACTTAGAACTGTGCATCTCTAAAGTCATGAGCTTTCCATACCCTGCCAGAGACCAAGAACTCTTATCATTATCATCATCTAGCCTTTTCTTTTTAAAATACCTTGATGATGCTCCTAGTCTGTTCTATCCTTTGAGGCTGATATACTGTGTGCAGAAAGACTCTTTAAAAATTGATGAGTGTTTTTTGTTGGTGTAATTCAGTATACTCATTTTGTCACGGTTTTCTCTATTTCTGGCTGTAGCCAGAGACATTTTAGAGAGATCTGAGGGAATGGAGATTCCATTTGCAGCATGAGAAGCCCTTTGTTTTTGTAGGGGAGTATGTTTTTTGCATTAGCACCAGCCCATTCCAGTTGTGTGCTGCCTACTTAAGCATTATCACAGGAAGAGAGTACAGGTGCTATTTTCCACATCTTTTACCTGGGGACGTGGCTGTCACATCCAGACAGACTTGTATCCCTGAAGTTGGCCTTGTTCCCAGCTGGCACTTCAGTGGAGCACACACTGCACTCCCCCATGACAGCTGGCACAGAACAATCCAGCTCCTCTGGAAGGGATGAAGCCACGCTAACAAGAGACAAAAGAGGTTACCACAGAAGTTAGAAGCTGCTCTTCTGCATGCTGGACGTAAAACTCATGATCCGAGCTCAAACCAGGGGCAGAGAGAAAAGGCAGAAATTTTCTGTAGCAGCCAAGGTCAAGATTCTCCCGCCCTTCCTGACTGACCAACTGAGGGCTTCTCCCTCCATTTCTAACAAGCAGCAGCTGGCACTGCTTGTCCTGTCCACCTGAGGGCTTTTCCTACCCATCCTGTCCACCTGAGAGCTTTTCTCACCCATCCTGTCCAACTCAGGGCTTTTCCTGCCCATCCTTTCCAACTAAGGGCTTTTCCTGCCCATCCTGACCGACTGAGGGCTCATTCAACCCTTCCTGACTAACCAAGGGATTCTCCAACTCTTCCAGACCAATTGAGGGTTTTCCCTGCCCTTTCTGACCGACCAAGGGATTCTCCAACTCTTCCTGACCAGCTGAGGGCTTTTCTGACCGTCTGAGGGCTTTTCCCGCCCTTCCAGACTGACTGAGAGATTTTCCCGCCCTTTATGACCAACTGAGGGCTTTTACCACCTGTCCTGACCAACTGAGGGGTTTGACCACCCTTTATGAACAACCAACGGCTTTTCCCACCTTTTCTGACCAACGATCGGCTTTTCCCACCCTTCCTGACCAACGGAGGGCTTTCCCCACCTGTCCTGACTGACCAAGGGCTCCTCCCACTCTTTCCGACCCTCTGAGGGCTTTTCCCGCCCTTTCTGACCGGCCAATGGCGTTTCCTGCCGTTTCTGACCGGCCAATAGCGTTTCCCGCCCTTTCTGACCGACCAATGGTGTCTCCCGCTCTTGCTGACAGACAGGCGATGGCCCCGCCCCCCTGACAGGCCCATCTCCCGCCATCCCGCCCAACCATGGCCTCCCCTCAGACCCATCCCTGGAGCCGCCGTGGGTGAGGAGATGTCTCAGCACAACCTCCATAGCACCCAGACTGCTGGAACAAATTCGGCCTAGAAAGCGGCCAAATGGCCCATCAGTACTTTCCTCATTCTTTCTCCTCTTAATGTCAAATGCCTGTTCCTGACTGTTCTAAGTGGCTGGAGGAAAGCTGAGAGAGCCAAAAGCTCCAGCTCCACTTCCTTCCCCAAAATGGAATTCAACTTCTATTGAGATTAAAGATTTAGCACTATTTTTGTCATTAGCTTTCAGGATTCCAAAGGTTTGCAACGGTCTCACGATACATATTCAAGTCTTTCTCAATACGCTCTGGAAATCTTATGTTCTAAGCAAATAATAAACCCCCAGTTCTAAGAGCTGTGAATCACTGGCTTCCAGGGAAGCTGAGATTTAAGAAAAAAAAGCAAATCCTAGAAATTTAAACAGCTTTTACTTTTGCAGTTATGATATGCCAAGGTGTATTTTCAACTCCTAACTTACATCATCATAATTGACTTCTGAGAGTGCTCACTCTGAGCATGTTAGCAGTTACTTAAGACATACATAACTTAAGCCTTACCCTTTCTAGAGGAAAATTTTCAAAGCCCACTGTTGATACCATCTTTTATGCACAGCAGTCAACAATACTGGAAGCTGTGCTCAATCCAGCTCAGAGCCAACAGCACTCCAAACATCGTGGTGCTCAGACTTGTTGTTAGCAAGTTGGATGATGTAGTGTTTAAGATGTTGCAGGCAGCTGGTTTCTCCTGCTGCTCCATTAGCTGCTACCACTGAACCTTTCTTCTTTGGTACTTTTGAGAGTAAGCCGTCCAAATCCAGCTTGGGTAGGTAATTAAAAAATTCATGCATTGGTTTATTCAAGGAAAACCTCAGGCTATGATGACATGAGCACAGGGTGCTCCAATTAACAGAGGCAAGTGAAAGAAATGGGAGTAATAAATTGAAATTTTCAGATCTTTCATCTTAAGTCTTTGGCCTTTAGGTATCTTGAGATCACTCCAGAAATATTTATGTAAAATCTCTGTAGCTGTTTCCAACAATTCAACATCAAAACAAAAAAAAATTTTGTTTGATATGGAACTGACAAAATTATATCATGCCCCCAGCAACAGACTGCAAACAAAACTAAACACATCCACTTGTGAGAAGCCAATTTAATGACTTATCTCTTCCTCATAGCAGCAAACAAGAACTGAAAAAAAAACCAACTAAAATACTCAGTGCTTCTATCTGAGTTTTAAAAAACCAGAGATTGAAAACCAAGTAACAACGACAAAAAATTTTCGTGTTTCTACCTTATACTACACATATATATACAAATATAG